CCAAAGGCATTGCTTTATTGTCTTTCACTCTTGAGAACACTTCCTTGAGCTGTGCAACATCTGTGTTTGCTGTGTAGCTGTCTCCATAACAATCATACTCACGAGCAAAATGTTCTTTTGTGTCAGGAGACATGTGAATCATAAAGGCTGGTTGCCAAGGCACCAGCATTTTGGTTTGAAAACATTGAAGGAGCCACTCTGCCCTCACCACATCATATTTGTTGGAAGCAATGATGTTTTTCACTCTGACATTCTCAGCTCCTGCAATGACACAGTAAGTCTCCGGCCCTGGGTTCTGTACCACACTGCCACCACATTCAGCTATTCTGCTTTCCAGCTCAGACTTTGTGTATTTCCCCGTTCCCGTCATAACACAAAACTCAACATCTTCAAATACATTTGAAACCTTGTTTACACTAGAAAGATCAGGAGCTTTAAATTGGTCAGCTATTCCAATTACCTTCCTCACTTTTGAAACAGTTTTCCTTTTTTTCTCATGCGGCTCATCATACTCATCTACATGAAGGTGCTTAGATGCCAGTTTCCCTTCTGCTTTGCTTCTGAGGTCTTCTAACATGTCTGAAGTCATGCACTCGTACCATTCTTTGTCCTCACGTATCCTCTCGATTCGGGGGAACCTCAAAGTACAGTCAGTTTTGTACATATCACTGTCAACGATCTCGGCTGCCTTGATCTGAACTATGACAGAGTTGCAAGGTTCAATGTACATTTCAGGTTTTTCCGTTCCACACAAAATGTTACAGGGAGGGTCCTTCCTATGGTAGGGCTTCCAGAATTTCGCCAGTTTCAAGCCTAGATCATACAACTCCTTCATAGTATAGCCAGAGCCAACACGACAAATTGAGTGGAAAACGGTTGGTTTTTCATTTGGGGGGGGCGTCTCTGCAATAGCGCACAGAAAATGAGACATCATCCCACCACGTGACCCCTTTCCCCAGTAGCCACCAACAATTAAAAGGTCTAGTTCATCCATCAGTCCATTCACGTATTCTGGCTTGATTTTTAACCAGCCTTCCCCACGTTTGTCAGGCTTGTAGGTGGACATGGGATCTTTCACCATAATCCCTTCCTCTCTGTTATCTATTGCTTCATTTAAAGCATCAATTACTTCTTTTCTTGTTCTGGCACTTTTCTTATGTACAATATGCATCCTGCCCTTTACCGGGGTAAACACGCTACTCAAGATTTCATATCTTTTGCTTAGTACTTCGTGGCCCAACTTCTGATCGTTAACCATCAATACGTCGAACACACAGAAGCAGGTCTGCAGATCAGAGTCCTCCACCATTCTTTTTATGTCAAATTTGTTTCCTTTTTGCATAAAGGTTTGCGTTTCAGGATTGTAAGCCATCATTTCACCATCGAGAATGCAATTTTGTATATTGCTTTTAAATACGTTATGAATAAATGGCGTTAATGAACCTTCAAGGGGTGAAGCACCAAACTGCTGAGTATAGTCAAACCCATTTCGGGAAAAATATTTATACACATCCCCATCTTTGTGCATCTGCATACGTTCACCATCCAGCTTAGTTTCTATGTAGAATATCTGGTTATTCATCTGTTTCTCAATTTGCTGGACATCTGCAATAGCAGCAAGCATTGGTTTAAAGGCAGAAAACAACATGATAGAAACATCACTAAGTGAGACAGACGGATCATGCAGCTGTCTGCAAACTTTTTCTAAATCAGTTGTGACGTTGTGTAATTCAGCAGCATCAGGATGAAAAACGGAAAATATAGTTTGTTGACTAACACCAAGCTTTAGATCCTTTATAATCATCCGGATGAGCCATTTTTGTTCCAGTGCCGTGCTCTGGGTAATTAACTGAAGAAGACTTTTCTTTAACTGACCCTTATTTTTAGCAGCATTATTATTAGCTATCGCATCTAAGTGTTCATTGACTTGTTCTATTGTCAGTCTGCCTTGTTTTGGGCTCCTAGGTTTTAGCACAAAGTATGCGATCATTGCAAAATCTCCAGCATCTCCTCGTGAGCCTGTAGGTGTTCTGTAATTTAAAAGCTTTGCAGCATCTTTTCCATCTTTCGGTAAATGAAGCAGTTCAATATATAGCTTTGCAAGCATAGTTTCTTTAATTCCATATGCCATCCTTTCTCTTTCCAGTTGTGGAAGAATAAGTCGCATAGCTGGGTAAAAGGAATCTGTGACGTCTTTCTCTTTTTGGTGAAGTGCATCATGGAATTTCCTCCAGGAATCCAGAAAATCCTTAAAATACTTGGTTTTCTCCGGACGAGATTTACACTTCTGTATTCGCTCCAGAGTAGAACACAGATCTGCAAAAGGCACGTGAGAGGCCACTGTTTTTTTAGGAGGCTGAGAAACAGGTGCAGAAGCCATCAGTCTGCTTTTCACTAAGAACAAAAAAAAAAGTATATATTTTTAGAGAAAATGACATCACATTTTTTCTAAAAAAACCCCATCTCTAATTAGTATTTACATTTTTCCTTCTTTTTCTAACTAAGATTTAACCATTAGCTTTACTTAAAGGTCATCAGCTGGTACCACTGTCCTTAGTCAAGGGTCACACTCATCGGTGGGGCTGCGACACTGAAACACTGGCATCGCCTAGACTGAGAACTGACTGCAAGGCAGGAGAAGGCAGCGCGCTCCCCTCCCGTTGCTGCCCAGGCAGGAGCTTTCACTGCTCGGAGACCAATTTCCTCCTCCATCCCGCCCGAGAACGCAGCCTGCTCCCGACACCGCCCGCTCCCTCGGGCCCTGTCGCCCGGCCGCTCCTCGCCGTCTGAGGGAGCGGTGTCCAACGGGGCCGGCTCCCTCCCGCGGAGAGGGACCACACACACACACACACCACATCCCCCTGCCACGGCCAAGGGGGGGAGCGGACACTTTCCAGGCGGGCACCTCCTGCTCTGCACGAGAGGAGACAGCCGGGGCGATGGAGGCGCAGCCACCCCGGGGGAAACTTACGTGGCTCTGGGGATACCTGCAGTGAAGGGCTGACACCAGCTGCCCCACCCCGGAAGAGGAGGGGCGGCCCGGCGATGCCGCGGTCCGCGCTCCTCCCCCGGGCCGGGGCGGGGAAGCGCTGGCGGAGCCCCGGGTGCAGGAAGGCGAGGAGAGAAGGGAAAACGGCCGGGCGGTGACCTGGAAGCGGAACCGCGGCTGCGGTGACTTCCTGCCTCGGGAGGAAGGAGCCGTGGTTGAAGTGGCGCGTCGGGGTCTGCGCTGGCCCGAGGCACCGGCGGCGGCCGCCCGGGAGGATGCGGCGGGTGGGTTTCGCCGCCCCGGGGCCGGTCCCGCCCCGCGGGGAGGGCGCTTGGCAGAGGGAGGTGGCGGCCGGCCCCCGCCCCGTGAGGCCGCGGCGGGGCGGGCGGGAGCCGGGGCGGCGGGGGTAGCCGGCAGGTTTGGCTGTCAGTTTGGTGTTTGGGGTCTCTCCGTGGATAAATGCGGCTTTTCCCTGGGAACGGTGCTGTCCCGGGGGTTGTGCGGCTCCTGTGCCGGCCTTTCGGGACGTACCTCCCGAGGAGCTGCTGCGTTGACAGCACCGTAGAAGTTCCTACAGGTGCCTCCCTGCGAAGCCTCGGGAGATCTTTAGCTTCTTGGTAGCAAGCTCTTGCTCTAGTGTTTCGTTTGTCTCCACTGCCGTATGTAACAATTCCTGCAAATGGGGATGCTTGTAGAAGGTTGGGCTGATGATGATGATAACTTTAATGTTCTTACTGTGCCAAGTGACTATTGGCAAGGCTGAACCAGGTGGTTGTCTTAGGTAAAAAGGAAAATTTTTTAACATACTTGTCAAGTAATATGTTTTAGAAGCCTATGCTCACTAGAAAGCTAAGGTTGTAATATAGCCAGCCTTGGTTAGTTGTTGTTTTGGCGGTTTTTTATTCAATATCATCATTATTCAAGACATGCCTATAAGGTTCATTAAGACTTGTTGGTCGTAAAAGGATGTGTAATAAGAGTTAAGAGGAAAACACTTTCAATTATGAACATGTGCAACCTGATGCAGAGTTGTGAAAATTCCCTGTTTGAAATAAGTAGGACAAGTGGCTTGTTGATTTTAAAAGCCAGAGCCCTTAAATGTGTGACACGTAATTATTCTTACCGTGCTTTTTCCTTTATTGGGGGTCACTGCTTTGCTATCATTTTTCCTTTCTCTCCTTTTTTTTTTTTTATGAGTGTCTCTGTAGGATTTTAGTACTAAGGAAGTGTATTTTTCCTGTCTTGTAGGTTTGTAGATTGTAGCTTGTAAGTTTTCTTTCAGATCATTTCCCATGTGAAACTAATTTTTTTAAGTTGAGGACTTAGTATTCCTATTTACAGGAGTCTTCTGAATAAATGAGTAAATTTAAAGCTTGAGCAAATCTTATCAGTTTCTGGAGCAGGTAGAGTCCAGGAGAAGGAAGTGCAGTAGAAACCAACAGATGTCTTTTGGCATTTCTTAAAAACACAGAGAAATATCTGATTTTGTTTGTTTATTTTGAAATCCAAAAGATTGCAGTGAGTGCTAAGACTTAGCTCTTAAATGAGGAAGCAGCCATTAAACACCGGATTGTGCTTCTTAGCACTAACTTTAAGGCTGCTCATACACTAAAAGTTAGTTTTAAGGAGACAATGTAAATCTAGCATGACTTTATTTTTATGCACTATGTATATTATATACTGTGTACTGTGTGTATAGTCCAGGACATTTTGATGTGATTCTTGAATTTCATTGTAAAATGTTTTCAAGTTCGTCAGATGTTTCAAACAAGTGTTCAGCTTAATAGGTGGAGCATGAATATGAAATGCATATTTTCATCAGTAAAGCAGTTGTAGTTCTAGGGGGTTTGGATGCTAGCACTTCTTAATTTTCTTACAAGTAACTGAAGACAAACGGTAAATTATGTGTGTAATTCAAAAGCAATTTTACTCAATTCATAAATGGAATTGTCTTTCAGACAGAGATGAAGCCTGGGAAATCATCACATCTAAAGGTAAATGCTTTATAATGTGATTGGTGTATGAAAATGGCCCTTTTTTAATATTGAAAATACGGACCAAGACAAAACAACAGAATTTGCGACAGATAAAAGAGTAATTTCAGCTGCCGTTCAGAATGAGTGAAAAATTGTTCACAAGTACTCTAAGTATGCACTTGAGTTTTTGTGATTCTTCAGTCAGTAATGGCATTAACCAATTAAGAATAGCATTAGGGCAAAGCAGAATATTGTTAAAGTACCTTGATCGTAAAGACCTTATTATTTTTCTCGGAATTTTTATTGTTGTGAGTGATTTGTGTTTTCAGTAGTTACCTAATTATGAGATTTGTAGCTCGTCTGATAGAACATAAAGGTCTGCAATAGCTCCTGGACTGTGGATTCAGCAGTGGAGATGTATAGATACAGGTGTGTGTATGTATATCAACATATGTGTATATCCCTCTGACATAAAATTGAAACTCATCACTTGCAAATTTCCTTTCTGTTTTGAGGGGCAATACAGTTATGTGGCGGTGTAAACTGAACTGGTCTTTGAGCCAAAGGTACAGCAGCAGTCCGACTAAGTCTTACTTTCATTAGGTCAAGATTGAATTAGGCTGTATTGCTGTTCCTGTGTGTTAATGATTTCCACAATAGAACTTTGTATTTCAGTACTGTCTTCTGCTTGTCTTTGAAGTATACAAGCATCATCAAAGAAATTCTTGTAGGAAGCATCAAGATTCTCAAAGGCTAGCCTTTCTAATGCACATTATCAGAGGGACAGGAGGAAATGTGAAGCATGTGGATGGTAGAGGAAGGACCTCTAACCATATTTGTGAATGAGAAAACATTATGAGAAGAATGCAGAGCAACTGAATTTATATAGTCTGGAGAAAATGAAGGTAGGTTTTGTATTTGGAGGTTAATAAACATTGAACCCAAAGTGAAGAATTTAAGTAATAAGTGTCCCTTCTTTTTAAGTGTATTAGGAAATATTTTCCAGTAGTAAGAGTAGCTAAGAACAAGAACAGCATACATAGGAATTAACATTAACATAAGAGTTACTTAGGAAAACATCTACCATATAGAACTGTATGGTTCTGCTGTTGTTGACTATATTTGTCACAGACATTGACTTTTGTGACAGGTTTAAAAAAAATGCCCTTATGCTTGTTTACATAACCTCTAAATTAGTTTAAATAATCAGCAGTTATAAAATACTGTGAATGCTGTAAAATGGGATGTGACTCCTTGTTATAGGAAAACTTTTCTTGCAAAGTCATTTGCGGAATTACAACAATTACTTGAAATATGATGCCACAATATTCCTTCAAAATTTTTTTTTTAAATTTTTTTAATGAACCAAGAATGAGTTCCAGGGAATTAATGTTTTGTCTAGGAGATTTGAAAAGGAAACCTGTAGACAAACCTTATTTCCCTGTGTGATATAAAACTTCCACTAGCCTGCCACTGGCCAACTAGCTGACTTCCCTTGGTTCCCATGTCTCCATCTGTAATACACGAGTAATGTTTCATCTTGTCTCTTTAGAGAGCTGTAGAGGCAATATCACTGAGATAACAGTAGAAGGCAATATAACTGAGATAATCCTGTTAAACAACCATGAAAAAAAAATTACCTAGTCATACTTGCATAAGACAGAAATTGATTGAAAAGTTCTCTTTTAGAAGACATAAAGGTGTGCATGCTTCTTGCCATAACTGGGACATCAGACAGTTATGGAGCAAGTCCATCAGCGGTTCTTGTAGTCCAGGAAGAGAAGCAGTCTTGTCTAGAAAGAGGGACAGTTTTGTCCAGGTGGTGGGTCTGCTCTGTTTCTTATTTTAACCTGGTCAGACATCAAAGTCTAAATGCATTGTTCTCCCTTTCCTATCCCTCTCTCACACCTTTTCCCTGACTATTCTGGCCCCCTATTAGCCAGAAAAATTAGAGATACGGGAGAATCGTAACACATGCTCTTTGTACCTCAACACAGAGTTTTTGCATGATGTTACATTGTAACGTGTTTGAAAGGTGTATAACTTCCCATCTAGCACAACAGAAGTGGGAAATGAAGACCAAGAAGAGAATTGTTTTGTGTCTGTGTGTTGTCTTGCAGTATATTGAACAGTCTCAAATCTCATACTCTTCAGTCTTAAATCTCATACACTTCAAAAGTGCTGACCTTATTGCTCATTGAAAATTACTATATTAGCTTACCCTTTTTATTTCTGTCCTTCAAGTGGAAGTTTGGTTCTGTTTGTATCATCTTCTGCTGTTCAGCTCAAACAAGACAGTGTTTGGAAGGTCTGTTGCATTGGGGTCCATAGAAAGCATGGATTGTACCTTTATTGAGAATAAGCTTGTACTGATTTGGTTTAGAGTCTCTTCTAGGCCTGCGTGCTTGTTTGAGAAACCATCTTTTATCTCTCCAGTGATCTTTCAATTGGTATTGGAAGGAAGTGGGGAAGAACCTAGAGAAGCTTACATCTTAGTTGTCTAGCTGACAAATCTTGCAGCAAGATGTGAAGTATGAGATATGGGCTGATTCCAGCCTGGAAATGAATGGAACTAGTGAAGTTTCTCATAACTGGGAAGAAAACTTTAATGGTAATGTAGTTATTCATTAGTGCAGAGTAGTCCACTTTATTTAAATATGTACTGAGCATGAAACATTTGTGGCTGTGTAGTTTGCCCTTCCTGTTAACTACTGTGTGTTGAGTTCTAGTTGTAGGATGCATTGGTTTTAGAACTCCAGTAGCAAAGTTTATATATATATAAACTGATATATATATATATAAACTGATATATATATATATATATATATCAGAAATAATCACACAGCAGCAGTATCTCAATAGTATAGCATTTTGATAATATTAACCTACTAAAATAAAAATAGAAGCGGTGCACAAATTAAACTAAAGTCAGCTGTATCAGTCTTCAAGTAACAATCCTTAGTGTATATGGGAATTTTGCAAAACTTCATCACTTTGAGATTTTTATTACTTCTTTATCTTTTATTAGTTTTAATGATGAGTCTCGTACTCTTGTGAATGTCTTGATAAGAAAGCATTTTTGGAGTCTCATTTGTAAGGAAGTCAACAAAATTTTGAATAGATAAGGAGAATGGTTTTACTCTCTCATTGTCAGTGTTCTTATAGTCTTGAAATGTAATGCAGGAAACGTTTGTTAACTTCATTAGGAAGTTTTCTTAGAAATTGAAGTAGCTACTTTATATGTCTCCTAATTGCTGTGAGTTCTTTACTAGAGAAATGGATCACAAGAATTAAATTTTCTTATAGACAATATTTGTGAATACTTGGATGTGGATGTTAAATATGAGCTTATAAGTAATACAGGAGAACAAAGCTGGGATAACTGCTCTTTTTAACTACTTTATATTTCACCAGTTTTATGTATTTAGAGTAGATACGGTATATAAAAATCTTAATTTCACATTGTTTTTGGTTAATATGTGAATCTTTAGATGTAACAGATTATTTTTATTTCTGATTTATTTCTAATTGTTGCATAAAATAGTTATACATGGCAGTTTTTCCTGGTCAGATTGGATGCTTAACACATCTGTGGAACACAAAAGCTGTGGCTGCAGAGGTCACCAGTCATCACTTGATCCTGCCAAGATGGCTGGTGCAGAATGTTTGGATGCATCTCTGCATGTCAAACTCCTTTGGATTTAATTCAGATTCTTCCTGCATTACATCATTTCAGGAGGTTATAACTTTGTGTCTAAACTGTAATTATTACTGCTGTATGACTTAGCTTTGTTAAACAAGTGAGCTTGTGTTGTCATTCCAGGCAGTGTGGCAACTGAGTGGTGTACTGTAGTTCTCATGTAGGTTTGGCAGTTTTTGCCTGTTTCCATATTTCACTTGAACCTAGCAGTAAATACTGTAAGAGATTATATGTATGCTGGGAGATGTAACTGTCTCTTATAATTGGAAGGAAGGTTTAATCTATGGTCATTAACATCACTCTCCTCGTTTTATGCTGTATGTGTGTTTTTGTCATGAGTCTGTTTTCATGTTTGGTCCTTTCAGCAGTTGTGCTTTTCATTGATCAGAGAACAGTGTAGTTAGCTGACTGTTTTCAGTGGTCTTGTGTGATGATACAATCTTCATTCAGCTGAAGACTTAATATGGATTACTGATCTGATAGTGGAAAACTAGCGTTATAAATCAGAAACAATCAAAATGTAGCAAAAAAGGCTGTCGCAAACTGGTGGTAACTGGTAACTACAGTGTGGTATCTTACTGTAGAGGAATCTCTCTTCTGACCACTTCACGTGTTGCTCTGTAATCACGGTTGACCGAGATGCTGAAAGACAGCCGCCAATAACAGAGCCAGGATGCATGGTGAGCCTCCACTGGCTGCAAAGTGGTGTGCACAGGCTTACTGAATGCTACTTAGCAACTTAAAAATAAAGGCTATTTTTGTTTGTGTTTGGGATTTTAGAATTACTTATATAAGAAGCTTTGACAAACTGGTGATACGTTCTGTATGGTTGTTCTCTTGGGGAGTAGGGAAGACAGGGAAAGCGTAAGTTACTATGGTCTCAGTCAACCAATTTTCTAGTGCTGTTAATGGATTTTGCTGGGATTTTGAAGAGTTCTAAAGCCTTTCCTTATGGTTGCTTTTCTGCTTGTTTTTACAGAGTCAAATGGTTTCCAAAAAGGGAGTTTGCCACCAAATTTGATGTTAATGCTCCGATATGTTGACTTACCATTAATGTTCTACAAGTATGAATGCTTAAATCGCTTCGTTTTTCTTTTCGCTATATTTATGTGCATACCTTTGGCTTTTTTTGCAGGATTTACTTGGAGTAAAAGATCACTGACTTCTACAATGGAAAAATCATGGATGCTTTGGACCTTTGTTAAAAGATGGCTACTAGCTTTGGCTTCCTGGTCTTGGAGTCTCTGCCGTATTTGTCTTTTGCCCTTGATAGTGACTTTCCACTTGTACGGAGGCATTATACTACTTATATTAATATTTGTATCGATAGCGGGTATATTATATAAATTCCAGGATGTGCTGCTTTACTTTCCTGAACAGCCCTCTTCATCACGCCTTTATGTTCCTATGCCTACTGGTATACCACATGAAAATATCTTCATCAGAACCAAAGATGGAGTTCTTCTCAATCTTATCCTGCTGAGGTACACAGGGGACAATGCAGCTTATTCTCCAACCATCATTTACTTTCACGGCAATGCAGGCAACATCGGCCACAGGTTGCCAAATGCTTTGTTAATGCTGGTAAACCTGAAAGTAAACTTAATTCTGGTCGATTATAGAGGGTATGGAAAAAGTGAAGGAGAAGCAAGTGAAGAAGGCTTGTACTTAGATTCTGAGGCTGTGTTAGACTATGTGATGACTCGGTCCGATCTCGATAAAACAAAAATTTTTCTTTTTGGCCGTTCCTTGGGGGGAGCAGTAGCTATTCACTTAGCTTCTGAAAATTCCCATAGGATTTCTGCCATCGTGGTGGAGAACACCTTTCTCAGCATCCCTTATATGGCCAGCACTTTGTTCTCTTTCTTTCCAATGCGATATCTTCCCTTATGGTGCTACAAAAATAAATTTCTGTCCTACAGAAAAATCTCTCAGTGCAGAATGCCTTCTCTCTTCATCTCTGGGTTGTCTGACCAGTTAATTCCACCAGTTATGATGAAGCAACTTTATGAATTATCCCCAGCTCGGACTAAGAGATTGGCGATATTTCCTGATGGAACTCATAATGACACTTGGCAGTGCCAGGGTTATTTCACTGCACTTGAACAGTTCATCAAAGAAGTAATAAAGAGTCACTCTCCTGAAGAAATGGCGAAAACATCATCTAATGTAACAATAATATAATTGATATTCTTCTTTGGGGTAGGGTGGGGGGAATACCTGCACTGTACCTTGATTTGTGATAAGTCGTAAAAGAATGTCCATTTTTAAATGTATGTCATGTCTGTACTTGCCTAAAGAGTGAAATTAAACTTGGAAAGGTCTGATATTTTATTAAGGTGTTCCAGATAACTTTTACATTTGCAGCATTGTAAATGAACCATTTTATGTCTTTCTCATACTTTTTTGGTATCTCTGTCCATAAATTCCATTTCTTTGATATGTACAACAGATGCTATTAAAGGAACTTGCTACAAAAGTAGTGCAGAATGTATTAGTTTAGAACAACAGGAAGCTCTTCAGTATTCACTGCTGTATGTGTGAGCTTTTTGGACAGCCATGGTTAGCACAATGATTTGTTGCTTCTCTTAGAGTTTATTTACAGTGTGCCATGCATGAGATTAGTGTTTTATTCCTTGAAATTTTATATTATGCAAAGTGGGAAGTCTTTAATGTACTAAATAATATAAAATAACGTTAATGGTTAGGGTATACATGCAGGTATACTATCCTGGGTTATTACTAGTATTTCAAACTGCAACTGAAAATGAAAAAAAAAAACATTTTCCCTGCTTTCATTTTACTATTTGTATTATAATAGTGCACAGAAAGTTGTATGTGCCTAAACATACTTCAGGATTTTACCCAGGTAATTTTGCTGTAGAAAATAGAAGTAACCTTCAGAAAGACAACAGTGCAATCTAAGCTCCCTTCTGCCTCAAGCTCTCCTCACTGATGTACACGCAAACTGTTTGTTACTAGTAGTCTGCTTTCGCATTTTGAGGTGATATTTCTCAAGGCAAAATGGGTGGTCATACAAGGTAAAAGTAAGTATCTGTGTTAGTTTTTTAGGCTGGTGTAGTTAAATGTATGTGCCCTTTATTTATACCTCCAAAAGAAACAAATTCAAATAATTATCAGTGATCACTTGATTAGAGATTAATGTATACAGTTGTTACAGTAAGGATAATAAAAACGAGCAGGTAGTCCTAGGCAGTGATATTATTGAGAGTAGGAAGGCTCTGCAGATACTGACTGGATCAATGGGCCAAAGCCAATGATATGAGGTTCAACAAGGCCAAGGGCTGAGTCCTGCACTTTCGTCACAACAAGCTGGGGGAAGAGTGGCTTGAGAGCTGCTCAGCAGAAAGGGACTTGAGGGTGCTGGTCAACATCCCGTTGGACGTAAGCCAGTAGTGTGACCAGGTGGCCAAGAAGGCCAATGGCATCATGGCCTGTGCCAAAAATAGTGTGGCCAGCAGGAGTAGGGCAGAGAATGTCTGTCTGTACTCGGCACTGGTGTGGCCACACCTTGGGTTCTGTGTGCAGTTTTGGACCCTTCATGACAAGAAAGACAGTGAGGTGCTGGAGCGTGTCCAGAGAAGGGCAGTGGAGCTGGGGAAGGGCCTAGAGGGTAAGTCCTATAAGGAGCAGCTGAGGGAGCTAGAGTTGTTTGGTCCAGAGAAAAGAAGGCTCAGGGGAGATCTTATCGCTTTCTACTACCTGAAAGGAGGTTTTAGCAAGGTGGGTTTCAATCTCTTCTGCCATGTCTCAAGTGGAAGGACAAGAGGAAATGGCATTAAGTTGTGTCAGGCAAGGTTCAGACTAGATATTAGAAAGAAAATTTTCACTGAAAGAAGTGCTAGGTATTGGACTAAGTTGCCCAGGGAGGGGATGGAGTCACCATCTCTGGAATTGTCCATGAACCATCTGGATGTGGCACTTGGGGATATGGTTTAGGAGTGATTATGGTGGTGTTAGGTTGACGATGGGACTAGGTAATTGCAAAGATCTCTTCCAACCTTAATTCTGCGATCAAAGACGTGTGCTGTTAGCTTAGTTCGTTTTGGAGTGTGGGAGCTGTTTATATCTCTTCTGCAGGTTTAATTTCTCATCCACTGCAGCTGATTTTGCCTCTTCCAAATATTTTTTGGGGAGAAGAACAAACTGGAAAATCTTCCACACAATGTGTATGATTGCCCTTCAGATTGAAATTTTTAAATAAACTTTTATACCATGTTGTCCTGATTCAGAAAAGCATCTCAGCATACACCTAAAATCTGTTTCCTGAGGGACAGTGGTATTTTAAGCTTGTGCTTAAGTTCTTTGGTTGAATAAAACTGCTTTCCTGAACTGGTGCCTTAATGGTTATGCCTCCTAATGAAATTACAGTTCTTCTGTACATGTGGATAATAGTTATCAGCGATTTGTAGATAGGATGATACATCTTTACTTAAATGTGATTTTTTTTTTTTTTAATTTTTAAATATATACATACCAGAACTTGCTGCTTTCTCTGGTAAGTATATTTCGTGATACTATTATTAAGGTTTTCTTAGAGTTGATTGAAAAAACTAAAGATCTTTTGGGATCTGTAGACCTAAAATCATACAGCATAGTTTTAAATCTGAGTGAAACCAAAACTATCTTTTCAGCCTTACAGTGGTGGTGGTTTTTGGTTTTTTTGTTTTGTTTTGTTTTTTTGGTGGAGGGCAGACAGGCAGGGCATGTGGGGAAGGTATATTTGAGAAGTTTGGCTGTGGGGATGGGAGATGAGGCAGTATTTGTACCAGCAGAAGGGAGTTAACAGACATAGCATTTCCTTTCCCTGATGTGAGCTGCTTGCATAGATTGTTTCACCTGCTTCACGTTACTTTAGAGGTGGAAGGAGAGAAGGAAAATTGGCAGTCAAATACTGCTTTTCTAAAAATCAGGTAATAAAGGCAAAAGAATAGATTAATTGTTGGAGATAGAATTAAGAGAAAGTAGTTGTTTCAGTTGTCATAACTTGCCATTAAATGCGACTGTGATTTTTTTCCTAAAATGTCAATTTCTAAACTAACATGGCTTTTAACACATTTTCCCACCCATCAAAACAAAAATCTCAACCCAAAATACCCCTAGTATTACGTGGCACTTACGTACAAATGAAGTATTCTCATTTGGACATACAGTTGCAAATCAGAGTCAAATGTGTGATGTTAGATTATGGCAATCTGAAACTGTTCAAAGTGGGCTCTGTCTAAATATTACTTTTGATTATCAAGCCATATATTTTCACTATACTGTCTGCAGGACATAAATATGAAACTTTGTCTGCTTTTGCAAATATTGAGTATGAGAAGACACCATTGGTCATATATGCATCCTTTATACTTAATGTGGTTTCTTCCACCTTCCACGTATGTTTTGCTTCTCCCTTAATGGGTTGGCCACATACACTTGTGAATGAATGTTATCATGCTATTTTTTGTTGCATTGGCTGTGAAATCCACTGAAAGAAAACAGGAAGGAAATGATGTTTTTATGCAAATATTCCGCTGCTGTGCATACAGCCCTTTAAGGGAGGGAGGAGGGGGAAGGAACTTGTTCTGACAAGTCAAGACTTGTTTTTGTTTTATGGATTGTGTGATGGAAACCCACAGTTACCTGCTGCTAAAAGCTGAACTGTAAGCAACATAGTAATAATAACTTTAAATTGCCAAAATGTGTGCTATGATACTGTTGCATTTATTTAATACCATTATATGTTCTCTCATAAAAGTTATCCATTTGTATATAGATATTTCTCAAGTATTTGTCCTGTACATATAAATTTCTAGTTTGGGAAAAAGTTGAGTTATTTTCATAGGTTTGTATGAAAGCTTCTTGGTTTAAACATGCTCAATAAAGGAATTGTCTGTTTTATAAGAGGAAATTTAAGTTTAAAAAAAAAAAAGGAAAAACAAAGTTGGAGGGGGGGCAGGAGTTGAACAGCTGTAGCAGTAGAGTCCTTGTAAGTAAGTGTAAGACCTTGTGTGCACATGTGTGTGTGGTTTTAATTAGTGGAAATACTTGAGGCTTCCTGCTAACCCAAGTTTATATTCCCAGTATTTGTTTCTAAACTGTGAAATGCAGAGAGATAAGCTGTGCTTTCTTCTGAAGACATGTTAATTGGTTTAGCTGCCCTCATGTCCATTTCTCAGGTAAAATTAGAAATAGAGCACAAATGCATTTGGTAGGCTATGGACAATCTCTCAGCTGAAGGGCAGAAGGATTAACTATTTATATAAAATATGCATATCAGCATCTGTAAGCTAATCATTTGGGTCACGTTGGATGTTCACAGTGAAGAATGCAAGGCTGAATTGAGAGTCCAAGGTATGGTCTCTTCTGTTAGCAAAAAGATGCAGACGTACCTCCATCTGTATTTCATAATTCAGTTCTTGAAAAGTACATTTTTATTTTTGTTAATGACACGTCATTTTGCTGGAGGCACTTCTGCCAAATATAAAATCAGTGCCTCTTGCATGTAGTGGGATCAGCCTGATGAATCCCATTAGGTATAATTTGCAATGCCATCCTGCTTGTATAATTTAAAATAGAACCCCGCAGAAGTGTAAATAGAGATAGCATATTGAAGTTCTAAATAACACTTGTGTTTTGAATTCAGAAACAGTCACTGGATATAAGATGCAAGCTTTTTATTTGATTTTTCTTTAATATATAGTTAAGGCAAAACTGTCTTATAAAGTATTCTTAAGTTTTGTAGACAAAGCATAAATGTTACTGTATATGTGCTAATTGTGGCAAAGTTTTACATTCTCATTCTAGTCTGGTTTTTACGATAAAGTTAATTTTACAAAAAACACTTTTCTATTTTTATGTACTGACATATGCAATAAATTGATACATTAAAAGTGCTGTTAATGTCTTGTTCTAGTCTGTGGCCTTTCTTCAGTGTGTGTAAAGGGGTAGTTCTGTGTGCATGGTAACAAATCAACGCCAAGGTATTGTTTTCAGTTTCTAAAGCTGGAGCACATGGACATCTGCATTATTAGTTGTGGCATTTGTGGAAAGCTATTATAGCAGGGAAAAAGTATTTTGTAAATATATGTTTCTAAGCTTTGTCATGTATCCTCACTTTCAGGAAGTGATAATAAGTAAAACTGGTATGCAGTAGCTCTCCACTGCTTTCTAACACAGTTTGCATTTCAAAATTTCTCTGTTTTCTAGGGGACTGAGAGATGGTCTAAATATGATGTCCATTAGGAAGTATTTTTAAGTGTTCCTGACTAGTTTTACCACTTGATGCTGGCAAAATTTCAAATGTCAATTTTAAATCCTATAATGCCACTCTAGCAGGTTTATAGTTAATTCATGTAGCTGCAGTGGGATATTGAAGCAATTTCGACTTTCTTATAGAGAAATATATAACTAAGCTTGTAGCACCTCTGTTGCCGTTCTGCATAGTTTATATGAAATGCCCAGAAAATAAGGATTTTTTTCTAAAGCTGCAAAATGTTTGTTCTCTCCTGGATTACTGCAAGGCTTATAGTTAATTTTTAACCCACTACCTGGAAAACAGGGGTGTGGGGGGTTGCGTAAGTGTGATAAATTTGGACACTCTGTTCAAGATACCTGTTAATTTTGAATGAAAAAACCAGATATTTCTGATTTTTGTAAAGGAAGAAATGAAAGTGTAGGAGCAACTCAGATTGAAATACTCCATGTGAATACTGCCCTTCTTGAATGAGAAGCAGATTGCTGTCATTGACATTGTGGACTATGTCACTAAAACTTACCTGCACGGTGCTACTCTGGAGAACACAAGTCTTGCATTTGCTTTTTCTTGCTTGAAAATTGATAAGCAGCTGGACTACAAAGTGCAACATAAGCACTTTGTTATGTGCAACATAAGCACTAAGTTTTCTCAGAATTTGCAAGTACGGGTTAAATCACAGTAAGCATTCATAAGGGCATCTGAACATCTAAACTAAAATGAGAACAACCCTGCTGAGAAGAACTTGAGGGTGTTCGTATATGAGAGGAAGGACATGAACCAGCAGTATGCACTTGCAGCTCAGACAGCCAATTGTATCCTGGGCTGCGTCAAAGGCAGCGAGGCCAGCAGGTCGAGGGAGGTGATTCTGCCCCTCTACTTTGCTCTTGTGAGACCCCACGTGGAATGCTGTGTCCAGCTCTTGATTCCTCAGCACAGGAAGGACATCGAGCTGTCAAAGTGAGTTCAGAGGAGGGCCACCAAGTTGATTAGAAGGATGGAGCACCTCTCCTATGAGGAAATGATGAGAGAATTAGGTTTGTCCAGCCTTGAAAAGAGAAGGCTCTGGAGTGACCTAATTGTGGCCTTCCAGTACCTGAAGGGAGCCAACAAGAAAGATAGAGAGGGACTTATAAGAGCATCTAGTGATAGGATAAGGGGGAATGGCTTAAAATTGAAACAGAGTAGGCTTAGATTAGATATTAGGATGAAGTTCTTTGCTGTGAGGGTGGTGAGGAACTGGAACAGATTAACCAGAGAAGTTGTTCCATTCCTGGAAGTGTTCAAGGCCGGGGTGGATGAAGCTCTGCGCAACCTGATCTAGTGAATGGTGGCCCTGCCCATGGCAAGAGGGTTGGAACCAGATGATCTTTAAAGGCCTTTCCAACTGGACCATTCTATGATTCTATGAAATAAAACCTAAACCAAAGGCAGGGGCCTTGCTGTCTGTTAAAAAGATCAAGTACAGGTAGATAAAATTTAGAGAGAATACTGAACCATTGACTAATCAAAAATTATTTGCTCCAAAGATATTGAACATGCCTGAGCTTTAAATCTTTTGTTGGACCCTATTCAGGGTCTTCATTTTAGACTTTGTACAGAGTTCTGTCTCTGTAATTAGATAAGGAAGATACACTGATTATTTTCTGGAATTGTTTTGAAAACATTGATGTGATTAATTTGTTATGCTTCAGCTTGGACGAAGACAGAATAACTCTCGTAAGTCTTGGAAAAACAGCAATTTTTCTTTCTCTGAAAGCAATACAGCTAAAGAGCAGACTTGGTTTTATTGTGTTACAGAACATGGTTTCACTCCTAATTGGAGATACATATGTAATAATCTGAAGCAATGAGCCGAATAATGCAAAACTACAAGGTGGCTATATGTTCACATACCAGGTTTAGAGAGCTGTTGCCTCTAGTTTTGACAAGCAACTAAGGAACAGATTTTGCTCCTTGAAGACAGAAAGAAAGGAAGTTCTACAGCTGGTTTGCGTTACACTTAATGTCTGGTGTGGGCTAATTATGTACAAAAATTCAAAGGGAAAGGTCAGACAGAAAACCCTTTCCTTTCTGTCCTTTAGGACTCAGGAACAGCATAGCAATCAGATATAGCTATGAAGAAATAATGTTATAATTTGAAAATACTTGGATCCTTGTCCTGTTCCCTCTATTGAAGGTCTCCAGACTGTAGCAGCAGCAGTGGCCACTCCCACTTGAAAGGCCATGGGTCTGTGTTTATCTCGTTACCATACAAATGCATTTGTAGCCCATCTGTGCAAAATCGGTGAAGTTGCATAGTGTCAAAGAGGTGGAGAAATGCAGTACTCGGTGCTGCTGAATAGCAAAGCCAGTGAGACTGTAAGAGAAGTGAGCTACAGCTGTATGACAGAGCTTGTTTTTCCCTGAGCAGTAAGAAGGAATTGCTATAACATCACGGGGTTGGAGGGGTGGAAGGGAAGGAGGCTGTTATTAAGCTGCTGTAGTATATAAATCATGTATTTTCTTTTTATATTTTATATGGTTTTAAAATTATTTTCTATGTCTTGTTGGCTCTTCTGCATACTTTGAAAGACACCTATAATAATTGCTTTTCCTTCCTGTGTCATTTCCTATTCTCTTTGAAAACACTGTAATAACCATGTGAAAAGTGACAATGACTGCAAGTCAGCTGTAGGTTTACTATGTGTAGTATGCATGCCAGATTTGGACCCAAATTTTCTAGATGCCTAGAGAAATAAGATCTTGCAAGGAATAAATCAAGGCTGGCATATCTAAAATGTGCAGAGACAATTGTGTTGTCCTAGGCAATTTTGAAATTGTGAGGCAAAGACAAAAAAATACACTTTTTGCTTCAGAAAAATCTCAGAGCATTTTTTTTTTCCCTTTTAACAAAGTAATGTATCAAATAAGGCTTTAACTGTTTGTATAAAACATACTTTACTTGCAAGGTATTCAACAGCTTCCTGGAAGTTAAAATAATGGGATGTAAGATGCACAGCCACAGGAGTGGAGTATCCAAAAATAGAGTGCTTTTTGGATCCATATGTGAGGCAGAACTTGCCTGGATTTACTACAGTGTACATTGTAGTTGATGAAAGAATGAAAGCACTAATTAAGTGTCCTTGAAGGGAATGTGTACTGTTTCAGAGGGATATCTATGAATGTTCTTAATAGAGATCTCTGTAATGGCAGAAAACTGTAATACATGATTTATTCTGATCTCCCCCAAAACAGTCCTCCCATTTTGTCCATCTTCAGAAAGGACTTGAAACTAAATGTGCTTCAGATGGAACCCTTGCTTATTCTTTGCTCCTCTATCTGTTCTGCACTGTCTTGTGCAGAAGCACAAGAAGCTGTGCAGAACACAGCTGTTGTGGTCTTTTTATTGTAATTACTGCAGGGACCATTTTGTGGCTACTTCAGAAGTATATGAGGCTGGACCCTTCCCGCTGGAGGCGTACTTTTAGTGTAGCCTTTGACATTTGCCTGGATCTCTGGGTTGCAGCGTCTGCACAGCCTCCTTTTTAAAATAAGAACATTTGTTTTTAAGTAAACTTTCACGTTTCTTCAGTAAATTGGGTTTTTACTCAAGCCCTCATATTAATATCATCTGCTTCTCTTTTGTACATTAAACTTCATCATGGGATTTTCCTCCCTCACAACGAAGATGCTTTTGTGATTAAAGTACGTTGCTGGATTTCAGGAAATCAATAATTCAGTTTGTGGTTCAACCACAAATTTCCTGTGTGATTAGTTGCTATCTCTGCCTTGGTTCCCCACAGATGTAGTGCTGATCTTTTATAAATTTGCAGGTTACCAGGACCCATCTTGATCATTTCATTTGATACTCTGCATAACAGAATGAAAAAAAATAATTGCTTCCATAAAGTTAAAAGGTGTTTTTCTGCTGTAATATCTTGGAAAGTTTAACCAGCCTTAATTTCCCTGGGTTGTAGTGAAATATTCTCACCTTGTTAGACTCTTCAGTGGCAATGTGTTGGGTTTTCTTTTTTTTTTATTTATTATTTTGAGTTTTACCTAAAAGTTTGCTCTTTTTCTCAAAAGTAAAAGACTTGATTAAGTAGAACTCTTAGACTAGCCAAGACATTTCTTAATAGTTTTCCTTAACTAAATTAATGAGGTCTCTTAGTCAGTCAGCCTAAGTGTTCAACATAGCTCCTTTCAGTTAAGGAGGCACTGTGGTTGGATTCACTATGTGTCCATGGATCATGTACTGTGCATCCAAAATAGGACCATATTTTCAGAATATTTTTATTGTAAGGGTTTATTCTTATTTGCTTGCAGAGATAGATGGGTTTCTCCAGTTTAATGCAGTGACATTTTCTTTTCTAGAAATAGTTTGGAAAATGCTGCTTTGAACTGGTCTTGAGGCAGTGCCTAAGGTTTTTCTGCATGTGTGTGTCTTGAGTCAAAAACTGTTAATATGGTACAAACTTCTGCCAAAGGATTTTCAGGAAAGCTGGCCAGTAGAAGCAGGCTGCTAACCACAAACTGAATGCCCTTTCCATTATGAGTTCTTCAGGCCTCTTATAGTCATTTGAGTTTTTTGTTGTAAACCCTTTTCACTGTTCAGTGTTTTCAGCCTTAGCTATATGTAAATAGTTTTGTCAGTATAAAAGCATGATGCTGCCTCTTTTTTTTGCTTATTATTTTGCCCCAGAGTATATTTCCAAATAGTACACCTCTTTTTCAATAAGAATATTCCACTGAGAGCTTGTGTTCAGCTGAAGTCAATACCCTCCCATGTCTCCTAATGGGAGGCAAATCTGAGCACTCCTTAGTCCTCTAAGTCATATCTTAGTTTAAAACACAGCAAAAATGGCACATACGGTAATCTTACTCACTTGGTTTAAGCAGGCTAAGGACTACTTTGCAGCTCTACCAACAAGAGGAATCAAAAGGAGAGTATGTTATGACAAAACATAGTGACAAGCATTGAGCACTGATTCTTCTAGGCTCTGCAACTAGCATGAGGGTTTTGTTTGGTTTAGGGTTTGGTTTTTTGTTGGGTTTTTTTTTAAGTCATTTTTGTGATTTACTTTAATGCAATTAGCATCTACAACTAACTGAAGCTTCATTCAAGTATATTAAACCAGAAGTTGTTCAACTTAGTTTATTTCTAGGCAGTTCATGTTGTTTTTCATTATTGATCCCTTACTGCCATTATTTATTGTTCCACTATGATTTTGTCATCACAGAAGTTGTCAGAAGTTACGTTTTCTTTCAAATCACATAACTACTTATGAATCTACAGAACAATACAAGGTTGCCAACAGAGTGATCCCTTTGATGCTCAACTACAATATCTACCGAATTTAACAATTTACCATATGTGGGCTATTGTGATTTTCCTCATCTCCCCTTTGAAATTCTCATTGATCAAAATGATAAGCAAGATGAAGCCAGATGTCTTACAGAAGTCCTCTGTGTCACCACAATTATTTTGTCAACCCAAATAATGACCCCATTTAAAGAAGGTGTGGAGGCTGGGAACAGCCTATTTTCTCTAGAAGTGACTAGAGTGCTGCTATTTATGTATCTGTCTGTTATTTTCTGATATGTTAATGACTGCAGAGACCTCACTGGCCATTTGTTTCTCAGTATTCCTGAATAGCTAGTTATAACTTTCATTCTCTCAGTTTCATTTTCTAAAATAGCACATCTTTTCCAACTGTCATATTTCTTTTTTTTATTTTTGGAACAGTCAATACTAGGCTGGTAATGTTTTGATGTTTAGGGATGCTTCAAGGTATGTCTGCTTAGTTCTAATAAGTGCTTATTCTGTTAAAAAACAACTGTGTTAGTTCATCTTAAATTTCTTTCAAAATGCGGCCCATTTACACCTTAATTTAGCCTGGAAAACAGGCACAGAATGGTATGGTATTGTGCTTATTCCACCCTACACTGATTTCTTTATACTTTGTCGCAGTATGTAGATGGCTTCTAAGAGCACACTAAGATACATTGTATATTTTTTCCTCTGCATTTAGGAACAGATTTACTCATCCGTGCAGGATAAGCGTGGTTGCTATAGGTGGCAAAATAAGGAAAAGAGTGCCCTACATCACAATGGAAGATGATAAAGCTTATAATCATCCTAAATTTCTCATAGCCTTAAGAAACAGAAATAGGAGAGGCTACAGAAGTTGTTTCTGTATTGTTGTTCCTTCTTCCTTCTCCTTCCCAACAGAATTAACTTGATCTGAACTACTCTGGTAGGTGTTGCTATCAGGATTCACTACAGAGTGTTTGGACTGACCTGTAGAAGTTCTCTCTTTTGCACAGATAAACTTTACTCACGTGGTAACAGGTTGACCTGTTGATTTTAGCCCTAATTGTGATGCTGTTTGATCTTTTTTTTCTGTCTTGGAACACTGGAACTTTTAACAAAGGGGTAAAAGTTGAATTTTGTGTGAGAAGAAAATACGTAAAACATATAAACATGTTTGGGATATTTAGGTACCCTTGCTGCTGCAGAAAAGAAAGGAATTCCTAATGCAGGGTTTTAAGAGGAAAGGACTTGTAAAATCTTGAAACTATGAACTTAGACCAGACATTCAGGATTCATCTGAAAAATGTTAGCATGCATGTTTAAAGTTTTAGTCTGTGTTTCATTTTTAAATTTTCTAAATATCATTTTTTCTATACCTCTCTGCTCTTTCCCTCCATTCTTATTTCTCATCTCTTATTCTTTTCCATCATCTCATTTTCACCTCTTCTAGTTCCCCCCTGCCAAGTTTCCTCTCCCTGCTTCTCTGTGTCCCCTTTTGCATTAATCCAGGTCCTTGAATTCTGTAGAGAAACTGTATTTATTAGATAAGTTTAATAAAATATCATCCCTTTTCAAGTTAGTTAGATGAACTGAACTGCAGAATCTGCAGCTACATACAGTTGAGAGACCAGTAATTGATGACTCATACCTGGGAATATTTTTCACTATTGTGTTTTGGAAACCACAAAAAATTTTTTTTTAATAATTTTTCTCCTCTGTAGGCATATTGGCACTTTAGATATGAATATATATATGGTAATATGTGTGATATAATGTATATACACAGTAGATCTTCATGTACACAGAGGCACATGTCTGTAATACGTGTATGCCTTTTAAGTAGCACTGGATGATATGCTGCCAGGAAACTTTATATAGTTTCTGCATTTCTAGATAAGGCTCTAAAATTACCAGTGGTACTGGCTGTGCCTAAATTTAAAGATTATGGGAAATGGTTATAGCAAGCTGCCACATAAATAAATAATTGAAAGTGAAAGGAGGAAGGTAGATTCGTGAGAAAGTATTCCTTTCCAAAATGCAGCACAGAGAGATGAAAACAAATTGAAGACTGAATCTTAGGTGTTCACTCTGTACATTAAGTTTAATGGTGCTATCGACAGCTTCATATGACAGGAAATGATCTGGGCGTTTTGTTCACTTATTCTGGATGCCCTTAGTTTCAGAGAGCAACTGGTAACATGGATTGCACCTCGGAAGGGGACAGCTGAACTCTCCCTCTGGCTTTAGTAAGGAAAAAGCAGCGATGAAATCCGTGGACTATGTGCACGTCATCCAACAGAAGGATACCGCCTCCTCTCCTTCTGCCCCCCCTGGTGCTGTTTCAGGCACCACAGGACTTTTTTCTGTCACATTCCTGTGGCTCGCAATGCTCCTGTCCTCTTGTCTTGCAGCAGTGTCTCTTTACCATGTTATCACCCTGAAAACAGAACTAGAAGCTCTGCGCAGTGAGCTGATCTACAGGCTCCAGGCAAGGTCTCCGCTAGACCAGCCACCCGTGTCCCCTGAGGAAAATAAAGCAGGTACCCCTGTTTCTTCCTTCCTGCAAGTGTCTGCAGCTGGCACCAGGCAGGTAAGCTGGAGGGGTGGTTTCTAACTTGCAGGGGATGAATAAACGTGGGGCTGTTTCACTGACTGTTGCTTCTCCTTGTTAGGAGAACAGGCTTCCTGATAGCTTGCAAAAGGAAATCTGGAATGGAAGTAGAAACAGGGGCAGACGGTCTGTTGTCCACACAGAAGAAAAAGGTAAATAGCATCTGGTGGAATGGGTTGGGATGCCACAGTTGGATACCGTTTTGAGAAAAGCAGCAGTGTCTTCTCCTGTCAGTATCCATGCTCCCAGAGCCCATTCTGACTTTCAAAATTATTGCTGAATGAATGGATTTAACAATAGGCATATTCTTTTAATGGTTACCATAGAGAATAACAGAATGTTTTGAGTTGGAACGGACCTTTAAAGGCCATCTAGTCCAACCCCTCTGCAATGATTTGGGACATACTGTTTAAGGTACTGGTATTCATGCTATCTGCATTTCAATTGTTCAGTTCCCTCTGATCAATAGTAGGGAGGGAAATCTATTATTAAAAATGCCAACTCACTTTTCTGGGAAACATGCTCATCCTAAAAGAGAGAAGTAATGAGAAATTTAGGGAAGTAGGAGCTTTCAAAGAGAAAGATTGGCTTGTACCTGACAAAAGAGACAGACTACAAGGAATTCAGAAGTTTAGCATTATTTCTACATTAAAACAACCTATTAATATAATTAGAAAAATGAATAAAAGAATACCTATTCAGTAAGATTTTTTTTCTCTCTTGGCCTTTATAAAAGTTTCTGCAGAGAACACTGAAGACTGTGCTCCATAAAAGACCTCTGATGTGTATTATAATGTTGACATATTAATGGGATATATTTGTTTCCTTTAGGGATAAAATGTCTACATTTCTTTATTTTTCCAAACACAATGATGCCTTATAGGATGAAATGCAGAATTTTATTGTAACAGTCTGCACACATACTCTAACTGCACTAAGTAACTAAAAATATTCCTGAGTTGCTAAAACAATTCACTCCTATTATGTATACTTTTTTATTGTTTTAACTGATGAAAGCTAATATCTTAAGTTATTAAGAGATGACATTGAAATGGAGTGATTTGTAGGCAAAGACTTAATGAAATTTAAGTTCTATGGTATAATCACTCTACTTACTTCCAGTATTCTCAAAAGAGAACATTCATTTAGGACATCACCCAAAACCCACACGTTTATATGGGATTTATTCTACTTCATTAGTAATCTTTTGTTCAGGGTCTTGGCTAAGACAGATTTCGCAAACTGGACTGAGGACATGATTGCTTAAATTGTATTTCTTGTAGCTTGCTTCCTTTCATGGGAACCACAGAGTTTCCCTGTTCTCCCCACCCTAGCAACTCCCAAATAAAAAAAAGTGATCTAAATTACAAGTATCATAAGAAACAAAGAAACATCTTTTTTAAAATGAATGTTATAGCATCAGTACTGTGCAAGTGATCCAGTTTCCTTCACAATAGCTTTCACCTTTATTCTTATTGCTATTTGAGGGTGTAGGTGGGTGAAGAGGGTTTGGGGCTCCTCGGCTGCGCTTCTAAGTAGACTTAAGATTCTTCTCATCATGTAGCCACCTTTGATTATACCTATTTACCTTTATTCACACAAAATTATAATTAAGCTAATTATTTTTGTAGGCTTTTTTTTAAGATGGCTTTAAAATTGTTTCGAATGGATGACAGAAAGCACAGAATATGAACCTCCATTTAAAAGGGAAAAGCTACATAGTTTGATCTACTACAAAACTGTTTTCTAACATGAACCTTATATTTTTGTATATAAAAAAGAAAAAGTAAATTGAAAATCTTGCATTTATATCAAAGGTAATCTGTTAGAGTTACCTTTATGCCTGCTCTAATTACAACAAATTTAGCTTTGTCAGAGTTCAGTAAGATGTTAAATTTTCTCAGATCAGATTTCACTGATGACCATGAACCTATTAGTCAATGTTAAATTTTACCTTAACAGAGTGAGTTAAATAAGAGAACATGGTGTTGTTCATGGTGCTGAATCCAGTCTATTGCTTGGTCATGTACACAGAACTACTGGCCCTGCATTTTGATCTTTTGACATCCATATCTGAGTACTGGAATCCCAGCAACCTCAAAATTGTCCTGCAGATGTGCGGCACTCATAAATTAAGGTGTTGAGTGAGATGCCTGTTCTTGTCCTATTTCTGTTTGCTTCAACGAGGTCTCAAAGTAGAGTCTGGTCCCATAATTAATTGTCGACCCATCATTTTACTTTTACACAGAACAATTCCTTAGAAAGATAGTATTTGAAAACATTACTGATATACAATTGCTTCTCTTGAGCTTAAACAGAGAGCAGAAGTAAAATACAGGACTATTATTTTGTTTATAGATAAAGTTGTGATTCAATTATGTTTTCTTTCTAGACTTTAATTATTAAATTCCAGGAATGGATACCCCACTATTTTTTTAGGCTCAGCACAACCCTTCTTGAACATATGGAATTACCATTTTAATTTTTTTCTACTTTTTGATGTTGCGTGCATAAAAGCAGTCATAAATTAGCATTTTCATTAAAACAACAATTGAATGAAAGTGGATCTAACCCAATCTTGTTCTTTCATGTTTTTATAGGGTAGGCATTTGTGTGTATTCATGCATGAAACCATTAGCCATCCGTAGTTACACATTTTGTGCCTTGAGAAAATTTCCAGATCAAGTAAGTTAGAGAGAGGGGTTTCAAGCATCAATTCCAAATAAAGCTGCACAGTTAGCAGTCAGAAACAGAGTTCTTGATACAATGAGTAGGAGTTAATGGGTAATTTTGAAAGGTATATATTATTAATATGCAGGCAGATAGACCTTTTAACCAATTCTGGCAAATATCAGGACATATAAAAACAGATATAATTTTTCTTTTTTGTTGTTTTTCTTTGTCAATTCTGCCTGTAGAGGAAAATCATTGCACAACAAAACCTCTCCTGAATTTTATACCCTATTCACAATTATTGATTGCCTTGCTTGTATGTTTCTCTCTAAGCTGCATGTGCACTTGAGTCCAGGGAAAAGATACAGGTTCCATTGCCTAAGCCACTTCAGTGTACAAACGTAAAGTTTCATTTACACACTCCCTCAGTGCCTCATTCTGGTCATTATCATGAGATTCCAATTCCTGTGACCTAGGGAGGTGAGAATAAGGTCTCCTGTAAGCTCAAATGCAGGTGATCAGATTGGAGCCCCCGTGGACTACATTTACTTTGGTGTATTGAGGTTGCCCATCTCAACAGTCTCATTGCGTAGATGCAAAGAGCTGAGAAGCAATTCTATGTAATTCCACAAAGCAGTGAGGCAGGTTAACCTGGCATGTGTCTTGGCTCTATTTTTTTTTTTTTTTTACTACCAATTCCCAGATTCTACTCCAATATCAGTTGTAACCATGGGAAATAACTATTGCCTTGCAAGCATGGTGTATAAGTTGTGAGAATTTTGCCATTGTTCTTGATATAATTGCTGTACATTTGGTACATTTGTTGATTAGAAGTGTTTTGACTCTGTATGTTGTTGCTTTAGATATCTGTGACAGAGGGATAGCAAGAACTTATACAAGTAGTACTTGACTTTAGTGGTCTTTGAAGTGAGGCGTAGCCTTTTTTTACTAGCCTAAAAAAATACCACAGATAAAATTCCCTTACCAAATATTCACAATACTTCTTATTTTATTGTTTGAAGAGAGGAAATATAAAAGTTCTCTTAAAAAAAAAAAAAGAAAGACCTACTTCTTGAAAATATATGTTATTCTTATTTGTTTCTGCTGACAAGTCTAATTCAAAAGGAAGTAGACCCTTCTATGCAAAAGGGTATAAAATTATTTGATGCAATGCCTGCAGTTTTACATGAAGAATTTCACTGAATGAATGACTGAATGAATCAGTGCTGTGTATAATGCAGAACACTGTGCAATCAAAAATACATAAAATAGACTCTTAATTTTTAAAAACAATATTCTGCTTTGCACTGTATAATAGAAGTCTACATAAAGTATTCTTAATTCCTAGTAAACTATTTCTTTGTTTTTCTAACTGTAATATATTACTGGCAATTCTGTTAAAGTCAAAATAATGGTACCAATACTTCAAAGATATTTGTTAGATCTGAGTCCTACCTACAACCATGATTCAGCCATTTTAATGCAGGGACTGATTGAATCCATGATTAATTCTATATAAAAACTTGTCAGTTAAAAGGCAACAAATTAACAAGTTTTCCTGGTTTCTACTGGAATAGAGTTCATGAATACCAGTGTATAAAAATGCATAAGCAAAAACCAAAAGAAGATCTCTTGTGATGAGAAATGAAGAATTGCAAATGGTTCAAGAACATGCTTATCACTTCTATAGTAAATTATCTAGTGTTTATGTGTGTTTTGAGAAGTCTACAGAGAATAGATCTAGACCAAAGAAGGAACCTAAATAAGCAGGTCTGGGTTTTAGTGGGGGTTTTTTTTCAAGGTCAGGGTTTTTCCTGGGTTTTATTTCAGCAAAAATTGAAACAGATGTCTCAGGCCTCAGATATCAAAACTTTAAATTTTATGCATGAGCTCACAAATAGTAAACTTTAAATTTTGTTTGGATGGATCATTAAGTGAGATTGCAAAATATTAAAATGATTATGCAAGTTAAATAACAAGAAAATTTGCATGTAAGGACAAATTTGATTTTACCAATATAAGGTCTTAAATCATGCAGATATGCAGAAAGCTGTCCTGCTGCAAAAGCTAGTGCCTTTTTTTAAACTGTGGCTACATTGCTCAACTAGTAGAGAACACATCCTTTCATGTGCTGTCTGTGGTTTATAAAGGCATCTGGACCTACTAACTTTTTCAGAATTGGCTGTTCTGTTCATGGAATAAGACAGACTCTGAAATGTACTTCTGCCAACCGCAGCCTGCAGAGCAATTAAAATCAGGAAAAAAAAAGAATGTTCATCGAAGCAAAGCTATTATACAAATTCACAAGAGGATGGAGGATGCTTTATAGTTCTAGGTACACTTTTATACAGTTAGGCCTCATGGTGACACTCAGTCTACATATTTTTACACACTTACAAGATGTATTTTACAAATCCTGTATTCTGCTGTCTTTATTAATTATTCAAAAATCCTTTAGACTATGAAGATTCTGCTCGGGTTTGATATACACAGGGCTGAACGACATTCAGATAGAACTTTTGAGTTATTCTGCTCAGTAACTCAGTAACTCAGAAAGTAACTATTCAATGTGTATTCGTAATACATATATTCTTCATATTGCACTTAAGGTGAGATTAGGGTCCTTGTTGGAATAGAATTGCTAGCATTTCTTAAAAAAATTAATTTTTTACTGAAAATCCCTGTTAATTTACCCAGAAAATATTCTATCCATATTCTTTCCTTAATAGTAGTGTTGTTTTCTCTGAATTAGTTTTAATTAATTGCTTGATTTTAAGCATGTATGTACTTCCACTGAGGTCAAAGTGAAGTACTTGTATATACTGGAAATAGTTATGTGTCAGTCTTGGCTTCTGAACATATTTTTTAAGCATGTTGTTGTTCAATATCTCAGGAACTTTTTTAGATATTATTTATCCTTTGTAGCTTTAGGTAAAAAATGGCCGCTGTGCTACTTTCTGTTTCCTTATTGTCATGAATGACGCTGTTGCATCCATTTTTCTTCATGAAAAACAAGCTTACTATATTCTGTGGAACCTTATTCCTATCTGCATATATTAAAGAAAAAAGAGATAGATTTTTTTTTGGGAATATGTCTAGATCTGATATCTGTAGAATAAAGCAGTTGGTATGTGTTTTAAAACAATGGAGATGATCTCAAACTGTACTGATCTTGCCCATTTTAATTACTGTGTAGAAGTTCTCAGCCATGCTGACTACTATTTCAGTGCTGCAAACAGCTGAAATATACATTCAGAGTTGCAAACTGTGAATTAGGATAGTTTCAAAAATGCCCATCAAGTTTGCACAGCAGGCTTAACAAGAGTTGCTAAAGTAGCTGAACTTTTACTTCTTGTAGACAATACTCATTGGTATCCAGCTGGATAGCAGCTGGTTAGTGTGTATCATCACAAATCCTCTCTTGTTTAGTTAGTGGAAAATCCAGTGGCCACACTAATGAATTATTTCAAAAGCAGGAATTAGAATTTTCATTTAGCTTGCTGAAATACTAGGGAATGGGCAAATTTCATTCTCTAGGAAGTCATTTTGTTCCAAAAAAGAGTGTATTAATACTTTGTAAAGTGAATTGCCTGATGTGCTGTGTTGTGTGCGTGCAGAAAAATCACATTTTGATTTTATTTGGAAGCTTCTTTTCTGGAAAATTCTTTTGCTCCCAAGTTCAATAGAAAAATGAACTTTTTCAATTTTGTGTTGGCTTAGTTTTTCTATTCCTTACCAGAAAGCACGTAATTCAGATGCCTTCAAATTCTTGGTTTGCAAAACTGTAGATTTTAGCACGTCACTGGTTTGTTCATAGAACTCAAGGACACATTTCAGTGTAGGAGACAGAAGCTTGGAGGATAGCATTCCTGTTAACATAAGTAGGGCTTACAGGTTGTGTGATCACTGGGACATTGAAGCATTCCCAGATGTGCCCTTGAATCCCTGTGTGCTGCCAGCTGGCACTGCTGAGTGCTGGTGAGCATCCAGCCCTCTTCTGCTGTTTTCAAGCAGGACCCCTTAAAAAGGAGACAGTTACAGAGAGAGGCTGCTTTCTACCCAAATTCTCACTACCTGCTGTGCAGCAAGAAGTTTGTCCTACTGGACACTTAGTAGACACAGTAGATGCAGGATCCCACTCATCCATGACATTTCCCATTATAGCAAGTGTGGCCAAATCTGACCCAGAACCTTCTTATCTGAAAAGAGGTAAACAAAATGAAGATTCAGAAAACCATGGCAGAATTTTCTTCTCTCGACTCTTAGTAAATTCATTTGATCTCTTTCAAGCATAGTAAATGTTGCTACTCCATTTTCCAAACTTCAAAGTAGCACAAGAACCAGGCGTTTCGATTAAAATTTGCTCTAAGCAATTCTAACTCTTCTTTTTTCTTTTTATCCTATTCCCTGACATTTATGCTTAGCAGATTTTTTACAAGATCTTTGTTTCAGTTTGTTTCACTGTATTTTAACTTTCTGCAGTACTTTTCTCTGAAACTCCTAGTTTCTCTACAGTTTTGAGCAACATATTTTGACAGATACTAAGCTATTTGTTGTGTACCTTAATTTGCTAAGAGTCATATCTCTGTCTTCCCTCTCAGTCTTAGTATAGGTTGATTGAGTGTAGATATCTGAAAATATAATGAAAGTACATATATATGGATTTTGAGAATTTATTATGAAAGTACCACGTAACCAGTATATATGACTAATATTTTACAGCAACTATAACTGGAAAGTAATTTCGTTAAATAATACAGTAAACATCATTAGAAAAGCTGCAACTTGTCATAGCTGGCAGAGTTGGGACTTTTTTTGAGCTTTTGATTAGAAAATTAACAAGACTAGTTGATCTGATGATTTTTAGCTCATTTGACTTACTGCTACATCTTTTAATTATATTAGGACTAGATATTAAAACAAGCAAGTGTAACTTGTGCTGCTGTCTGAGGCCTCCCACTTAGCTGCCCGATCCCTGAAAGTTACCTAGTATGCGTTGTGATAGGAATTCTGGTTTTACACACTTGAGTGAGATCTGTATTAAAACCGATAGATTTTGTTTTAAAATAAGTGGTGAGGCTGAGATATTTTTTTCATGTAGTTTCATAAGCTTAAACTATTCTATTACTAATATATGTTTCTTTGATTTCTAAATGCTTTCACTTTCCAGTGCTGCAGGCCTGCTTGCAACTGATCGCTGACAGCAAAAGTGATATCCAGCAGAAAGGTAAGAGTATGTTCCATAATTTGTAGCTAACTATTCCTTGGATTAACTGTTTCAACAAATTTTGTCTAACTTCAAAGCAGTAACTGAGTTTTGCCAGTTTATTTAAAAATAATTTTAAAAATCCCACCACCACCAAACAAACAAATCAAAAAACAAACAACAAAGAGGTCCCTGCATCTGGTAGATCTCTGCATCTGGATAGCTCTTGCAAATAGCATCTTTTCAGTGGGGAGATCCAGCTAGTGACACTGGAAGTCTTGACTAGAAATCAGCTTTGTTAATTTTTGGCAGGCGAAAATGAAGAGATAACTTTTCTTTTTGATTACCCAAAATTATTGTTTCTTTTAGATGATTCAAGCATTGTCCCTTGGCTTCTGAGCTTTAAACGGGGAACAGCTCTGGAAGAACAAGGAAATAAAATAGTGATCAAGGAAACAGGTTATTTTTTCATATATGGCCAGGTGAGAAAGCTCAATTCACTTCAGCATCTGACTTTTGCAAGGGTTTTTTAATGCCTCCATACAAGTTTGAAGTCTACCTCTTCTTTCTGCAGGTTTTATATACGGATACAACATTTGCTATGGGACACCTAATACAGAGGAAGAAGGCTCACGTGTTTGGTGATGATCTCAGCTTGGTGACATTGTTTCGCTGCATCCAAAATATGCCACAGTCTTATCCAAATAATTCTTGCTATACTGCTGGTAAATACCTACATTTTCCTTTTGTTTGTTTGCAAATAAACTGTATCAAATAGAATCTGTAGTGTTGGGTGATTGAAGAGCAGGGACTGCATTCATGGATCTGGTTAACTGCAAAATTACAGATTATTTTCAAAAAATACGGTTTTATATAAAGTATCAGCAATCAGAGGGTATGTATCTAACTTGCTGATCTGAACAGCTTCATTCTTTCCATGGACTCTGTAATGGGGCTGGATACTTTGGTGCTTTCGGGTAGATGCCTTAAGCAGACAAAAGGAGTACATACTGTCCTTATTAAAGAACTCAGTTTCACTTAAGAGTTGAATTCCACATTTAGTTATCCCAATAAAATATTTAGGAGCTATGTTCTGCTTTAAAATGTCATATATAAATTTTAGCCATCTAATCTTTGCATACCTCACTGTAGTATTTCTACTCCTTATAATGGCTATTGCATTTTTAATCTTTGGTTAGATGAAAAATAGATAATTCCTATAAGGTACTCTTTATGACTTCACAAATTAGAAACATCACAAGAAAGACCAATTAAAATATTTAATGCAAGTCTAGCAGGCTCAAAGATCAATATACATGTATATTCCTGCAGTAGCATTTAAGGAATTAGCATCAAGGCCTATAAAACCTCATTTGTCAGCTCTTATCTGTCTTTCCACCTTAATGGTGGATTTGAGGGTCTCCAATTATTTTCCAGCAACATCTTTTTTTTCAATGCTTTATGAAAAAGTGGGTGACACTGAGTTGACTGTTGGCAAGTAATGGCATTAAACAAATGGTATGCAGCACAAAGCTAATTTTTTCCAAATAAAAATAAATTCCAAATAAATAAATACTTTGTCCTGGCAATTGATGCTCTTCAAACATTTCCTTTAATTTTCTGCCCCTTCACGTGTACATTCTGGCATCATAACCACTTTCGATTTCATCTATGCTCTTATTTTACCCTTGTATTGCTTCTACCCTTTCTTAACTAGGATCTCTACTCTATCCTGCCACTTCATGGTTCTTGCTTCCCAAATTCCTACTGTTCCTTTTTCACCTGGAAAAACAGTTCTCACTGCTATCTTTGTGCTGTTGAGCATGTCTTGCAGCAGATGTTAGATGTGTTCTCAGCTCAGTGGCTGCAGCTTGAAGGGGAGATGCTTTCAGTTATCATATCAGCTGAAGTGCAGCTGGCAGTAAGCAGACTTTTGTGCTCTGCAGTTACAATGGATCAGCTGATGTCTGGTAACTTCATTAGATTGGTAAAGCTCATGAAACCTCCTCCAGAAGTGTGGGAATGGAGTGGTCTAGGACCAGTAATACTCGGTGCTGACCTTGCCTGACAGAACACCATAACATGAGGAATCTGAGTACACCACTGATACAAATTTCTGGAACGTTTGCTTAAATTAACTGTGCTGAGTGCAGAGTGGAAATTAAGTCCAGCTTCATAGGGGATGTTAAGTGTCAGCTTTGGATAGGCTGTAAACTCTTAGTTTGTGCCTAAAGGTAAAAAAACACTCATCACATGTAACAAGCCATGCTTACATTTGCGAGATAACACATAATGACTTTTTGAATACTATTTATGAAAATAATGTATTTGAAATATTAACTTAAAAATATTCCAAATCCTTTTCCAGGCATTGCAAAATTAGAAGAAGGAGATGAACTTCAACTTACAATACCACGGAGAAGGGCCAAAATATCCTTGGATGGAGATGGTACTTTTTTTGGTGCAGTAAGACTCCTCTGAAGCCCTTAATTTCTGTTATTATGCTTAATGGAAATTTATTCTTTTCCTATGCCTTTGTCATAAAAAATACTGAGTTGTAATAAAGCTGCCAATTCAGTCTCTCCCCAGCCAGCACCAACTTCTGAGAACTTTTCTTCACTTTTATAAGCAAACCCAAAACAGGAAACACACCAGACAAACTTGTGATATAACCACCATGTGATTACCAGAAAGCCAATTTATTTCAGACAATGGGCAGCTCTAGATAACAACTGTAAAGCAGTGAGTTTTTGGCTTTGAAACAATGTATTGTCCATAAGAAAAAAAAAAGGATGGAGTTGACATAAATAACAGCATGACCAGGACCATAGACTATCAAATTATTATCCATAATTGAAAAGGAAAACATGTTAGATTTTCATTATTTCATCAATAAAATATTTGAAGTATGAAGGATGGGAAAGAAACATCATACAGTAGATTCCTTATCACAAAATGGAGATGTTAGGTGGGTTCTGGGTTTTGTTTTTCTTTTTTTCTTTGACACAAAGATTTTGGGGAAAGAAAAAAATCTAAATGTATGGGATAATGTAAACAAATATACAGAATAGTAGCCACTGTCTCGCTTCTTCCCTGTGAACAAGAGATTTACTAAAATCTATTAGTATTTACTAATTAGAATTAATTTTAGTGGAAAAAGGACATGTAAGATGCTTCAACAGCTCAGTCTTCAAAGCATTGCTACTCATCAAGGAATATGTGTACAATTCTATGTAAACAAGGCAGGAACAGAAAGAAATGCAGTGAAATTAGACACATTACAGTAGGTGGAATTGGATTTCTGGCTTCATCATTTCTGCAGTCATATATAGATGTGTATATATACATTATATAGATGTATTTGTATATATATGAACGTATGTACACACACGTATGTCTTGGACATTTGAACACAGATAAAAGATAAAATTTAAATAGATAGAAGATAAAATTTTATCTTCTTTTGAATAGTTTATCCAGTGGAAATATTACTTCATACATATTTCCTGTATTTCTCTTGCGCCTTGCTGTGATCCCTTCTATGCAACTTAGTAAAAAATAAAGTCCAATAGACCTGGAACCAGCCATGCAGTTAAGTAAATACATTTGTATCTGAGAAATCTGGGCTCAATCCTAGGTTAACTATAGGCTTTTTCTGCAGTTTTGAATATATTGCTCAATGCTGTTTCACCAAAATAATCAGACCTGTAGAAAAACTGAACAAGACATCCTTTTTCCTTTTCTTTTGTCTCCTTTGTTCAATAGATAGGATTTATGTCTTTTTTTTACCCCAAAGATTGCATGGTCAAGATAATACAGTGGTAATAGTGTGGTCAAGACTTCTAGTAGCTATTATAATACAAACATTGAGTACTTGTTCCACTGATCTTTAAAGAATATTAAAGTGCTGTTGGAATAGATAAAATAATAACACCTCCCCTGTACTGTACTTCACTTGAAAATTTTTTTAGGATTTGAGAATTGTGTTATGTAAGTTTATTTAGTAAAGAAAAGATGCTTTGTATATTGCAGTCTCTTTGTCTGTTTTTATAAATCATGATTTGATTGAGTTCTCAGGGTGATAGACAATAAATAAAAGAGTTTTGGAGCTAAGAATTATAGAGGATGGTAAACTAATGCAACAATTAATTCAACTTCTCTGGGCTTCAGGAAGACATTCGTGTATTGCATATGTGTATTGGATTACTACACTGTGATTTTTATGAGGCTTAACTACAGTTTCAAAATGTCTGAACTCCTCCTTTTTCAAATTTATTTATTTATGTGTTGTGGATCTGAAGCTTCTGCTTATTATTGTTGTTGTCATTGTTACTATTATTATCAAATTTTGATGTGCTAAGTTTGCCAAAAAGGCATTTTAAGTCCTCTACAGAAACCCTCAGTTTACCCAAGGTTGTGTGACTCTGAATGTGGGTAGAACAACTATTAGCATGCAGCGAGTTGACTGTTATTACTGACATATATTAATGATGCCCAGAATCCATAATCAGAAGTTTGTTGATTTTAGCGTTGTCTGATTATAGAAAAAAACCCTGTTGTTAGTGTTGCTTTCACAGAGACTTGGTGGCTAAACTTGCAAATTTAAATTTCAGTGCATAAGCTTCCCCAGTGGTTTCAGTGGGCTTGTGTGTGCTAACCTTAACTTAATCCCTGGCCGTATTTCCTCCTTCTGCTGCTGACAAACATGCACACTGCAGAACTTTGGAAAGGTTTTGGGGTATCATTTGGCTTGGAGTAAAACTTTTCTAAAAAATATTTCAAAGGTGTTCCCTTCCTTAGCAGGATGAAACTGAACCTCAAGTTACTCCACAAAAAATGGGAACCGTGTTTTTGTGAACCAGGAGAACTACCACATGTGTGCAGAGAGTGCAAGCCAACAGACTGTTCATATATTTCTACTGACATGTCTGGCAATTTTGTTGCTGTCAACAAAATTGTAGCTTTGAGCTGGCTTCATGAGAAGACTTCTCAAAATTAATCTACTTCTGTACAAAGTTGAGTTTTAACGGATCAGCATTTTCTGATCAAAGCAGGAAGAAAAGATGAATATCTCATTCCTGATTGTTCTGCTAACAAACTGGTGATACAGGAGGTAGCAAAGTGCATCCAGACCACCATCACACTTCTGTTTCAGTTGCTGGGAGTTAACAAAGTTTTCTGCATAGGGTAGATGTTATTTGAATAAGTGTGATGGGTAATAAGTAGTATCTAAGTGAGTCATATGATATTTTGCGTTCTTATCAAGGATATCTAGTATTTAAGATAGGTTTCTGCAAATACAACACACTGAGTGAATACTCTGGTTCTTCTTCATGTGGTCTCAAACATAAGGGACTTTTTTTTTCCAGTACATTTTTACAGAACATGTGAGCTTGTATCATTCTTTCCTTTATAATAATGGGCAGTTGGCAGATATATAGCTGCTTTGAATATAATGTATTTAATGTATTTTTTATCTTAAAAATTAAAATATCTCTGTTACATAATGTGCAGTCATACACCTTGCCAACATACAGAGTATATTCATTACATAGCTCTCCTGCATCTGACTGTTTCTCAGATTGCTCAGCATTTGCCACTGTAAGACTTTAACTTCAGTTGTCCCATAGTTTTGCCAAGCTTATACCACTGGAGTTGATATTTTCTGTATCTCTGGCTTATGACTTAGATTGAATTGTCTTGCATAACTTCAGCCTTCAATGTTTTACTCTTCTAAAGATGAAGTTGTGAAAAAATACATTGTTTGGATTTTGTTTTAACAATTTGCCTACTTTTTCTTTGGAAAGGTCTAGAGAATCTATGCTTTGAAAGAAGAAATGTGTGTAATGTGGGTTTTGCTTTGTTTTAAGCAGGGGTTTTTTTCTTTGTTCCTCTCTTTCTTCTGCACTCATACTTTGACAAGGTGTATACTTTTGAAGAATATTTTATTCTTTTTCAAGTTAAGCATATTCTATCCCTGTAGAACTTTCAAAGGGGAGAGGAAAATGTTCCCAGAAGTTTTTTGTCTTGGCTGGTCATGGATTACCACCACCAGTAAGATCTAAGGTTGTTTTTCAAGGTCAGTCCAAGCAGCGTGAGAAGGAAGCTGATGAAAACAAAGGGAAGAGAAAAGCTAAGGGGGATGGGGAAAACAAACCAGATTTTGAGCTGGACTGCAGAAACTGGAGAGATCCTAACTAGGATTTAATTGCTTGTGAGGTGGGGAGAAATGTGACAGCATGAAAAAGACTGCCTAACCTCACCTAATCCCCAGGCTTGTCACAGCCAAAGACAGCAGCTTTGTGGAAAAGGGACAGGGGTTCCTGGGGGAAAGCAAGCTAAACAAAAATCCACAGTGAGCCCTGTCAGAGGCAAAGGCTAACAGCATGCTGCACTGTATCAGCAGGAGTGTCACCAGTAGATTAAGGGAAGAGGTTATTCCCCTTTTATTGGGGGTGGTTGGGATAAAGCACATCCCTGTCCTATGAGGAGAGGCTGAGGGAAATGGGTTTGTCCATCCTGGAGAAGAGGCTCAGGGGTCCTAATAAGAATCTTCTAATACCAGTTAGAAAGCTGTCAAGGAAACAGAAACATATCCTTTGAGAGGGTCACAGTGTTGTGAGAAGGCACAATGGGCACAAATCAAACTAGGAAATTTGTACTTGGCATAAGAAAAAAAACTTGTTACCATGGTGTCATGACCCATTTGAATCTTTCAAATTTACAGGTCTATGTACTCTGTAAATTAAACTTCATCTTATGAGCTCATTAGGAAAGAAAACAAACATGACAAACAGGGATTCAATTCACTTTGTACGGACTACTCTAACGTGAATTTGCTAATTAATCACTTAAGTCATGAGGTTTCTAACTCACAGGCTTTCTAATCCATAACTCACAACTCATAAGTTGTAACTCATGCACCTATGAGCAGAACAGTTACCTAGATGATGGGGAGAGTGCTCATCCTTCCTCCTCTGCCACAGCACAGGTGCCCCCATGAGGACAGTCAATCACTGCAGCATGTTATCCAGAGGGGCTGCGAAAAATCTGTTCGTACAGATTTCCAGCACTTTATTGGATCAATCCCTGAGCAGTGTAGTCTGAATTCAGTGTTGATCTAGCTTTGAGCAGAATGAAGTACAGACTTCCTAAATAATCCCTTTCCCTTGGCTGATTCTATGGTAACAAACCAGATGTGCAGGGCAGAGAAAGGACTGGAAGAGGTGGGTCAGAGAGGGTCATGCTGCAAAAGGAAGGGTGTTCATTTCCTGAGTGCAAATGAAACATGGGTTCCTCAGTGTGTGCCTCAATAGGATCAGCAAGCATTTATGTACTGCACAGGGCAGGTTCCAGTTAAGCACAGCAAGATGCTAGTAGTCATCAGGTACTGCATGACCTCAAATCTAAGAGTGTAAATTGAATCAAACCATGTGGCCAAGTAATAATCTTGATTCACTCACTTGCAAGTTTCATTTGACTTTTTTTTTGCTGCTCCCCACCAATTCAGTCAGTGGATAGAAGATACTTCATCCTTTGGGAAATGGGATATTGATGTAAAATGTTTTAAGCTGAAGCCCAGACTAAATTTCAGAAATACTGGAAGGAAGTAGTAAATGTGGTAGAACATGAAAGAAGAGAAATTACGATGTCCTGTTTAGACAGAATTGTATTCCCTTTCTGTCTGTGAGAGCTGTCTGAAAAGTCATGTTTATTTTTGCCAGAATGTTGATTTTTTTTTTTTCTTTCTTTAAACCTGGAGTTGTTTCAGTTTTGACTTAAAACCATTTCTACCAAAACTTTGTTTGCAAATCTGCAGATCCTATCTCTAATCCTGATGAATGTTAGTTATTCCAATGGCTACAGGAAATCCTGTCTCTCAAAGTGTGTGTGAGTTCTCCTTCCTGACTGAGCTCAGGGTACTTGTCTTCCAGAGCTTCTTAAGCTAGGGAAGAGTCTCGATGAGCTCCTTTGCATCTGAAAATTGCCACTTTCTGTTTTCCTGGCTTAGTAGCCAACAGCACTTTTGGAAGTCTAAGCTGAGTTCCCCCGGGACATCATTTTAAGTTTCGTAACAGTTTGTTCAGTCTGAAATATTTTAAACAGAACATGCTGGGCTATACAAACTGTGGTTTTGACAAAGCTCTGTTTTGTTTGAGAATTTCCAAACTGCCCTAGTCTTTATTATAGAGTTCCTTAAACCCGATTTTTCACAGGTGGTCACTCAGTGAATGTTCCTCATTCTCTGGCTGACTGACTGATGTCCTTTGTGGTCTCATCTGCAGAAGTGTTGAAACTCACAGCTGCAAATGAAATTAGAAGGAATGTGTTTTGAATATTTGAAGGGCTGTGTAATTCTGCTTAGAAATACTACAGCAGCAAATATTCTGAAAAAGCCCTGGGGGAAATAAATTCTAATCTGGAGGCAAACATAATCGTGAGCAATCAGCCAAGAGACATGCTTTGGAAAAAAATGCAAGGAAAAGTTCTCAAATCATTACTTGGGTGCTGGACATTTTATGTATTGAGTGTGATAGGGATCTTAATTGGAAGGGCTATGTGAGAGTATATAAAGTAGCTTTTGTTACAGGTAGTAGGACAGATTACAAAGACAATTTTGGCCATCTTCACTGTAAGCATTTAGCTTTGCATTGGAAGATTCAGTGGGGGTTGGAGACAGAGGACATCCAGGGGCCTGCTCCTATTTCCTATACTAAAAGGGAAGCTCCACTCCCCTCAAAGCTCATAGAAACTGCTCCATGTAGCTGTGCAAGGAGTATTAACAGTTCTACCTGTGCTTAGAAAGTGTTTGTCTTGACATTAGGGAACTAGAAAACAACCACTTTGTAGTTCCTGACACCACTGGAGAGCAAACCTAGCACTTTTAAAGCAGGAAGAATAAGGGGGAAACTTTTGTCAGATGATGGCAGATAAGCAGTATCTGGTGGTAAACTGCTGTCTCAGGGTTTCTTACCTAGTTTTGTTTGTCCTCAGAATTGGAAGGTCACAAGAATGACAAAGATTGGAAAATCTCTACGAGTCTGTTTTGCAATAATAATTGTGTTGGATTTTTTTTTTCCTTCAAAGAGTAGATTTGCCACCTGCCCCCAGCCCAAGAAGGGGACTGTAAGAGCAAAGTGAGTGGATGGGGTGAGGTGCACAGTGGATGTTGTGGCAGGCAGGAGAGGTAGCTGAGATGTAGCTGTGTGGGAGGGGTGTGTAAAGCTGAAGGAACAGCAAGAAGACCCATGCTGCTGTTGCTGTTGCCTGTCTCCATTGCTCCATGCAACCTTTCAGTCCTGTGCTAGTCTGGCTTTTCATCACAACTGGTAATTTTTTTGAGAGGAAGTTCATGATGTGTCATCCTTATGTCTATATTCAGTTATCAGTTGCAAATACCAGTCAAAATTACCAGTGCTCAACCTGTAAGATAATACTATTGAGCTGCTACACTGGAAGTGAGTCATGGCTGATGCAAACAAGCTGAGCAGGCTGATGAGAAATGAGGTTAAGTCTGACATTCTTTGTCTGTAAAATGATGATGGTACGCTTTCCTACTTCTTAGACTGCCATGAACACATCTTCCACTATCAGTGGAAGCAATAAGCAGTGGAAACAGGAGAAGCACATAGTCTGCTACTTCTTCCATCACTTATTTCCTTTATTTCTTTACTTGTTCTATCAAGAATCCCTTTTTCTATCTTTCTTTGTCTTTGTACTCTCTCGTGTTCATCACTACTATACTGAGAACATGCAAAAAAAAAGGTTAATTTTATTAACTCCATCATCAATTTTTTTTATATAACCTCACGCAATCATCATCATCGTGATTATCATTATCATCCTTATCATCCTCATCACCGTTTTTAGGGAGCTGGAGTCTCGTACAGACTGTCAGTACCGCCGGTCTGCCCCCACCGGAGGGCAGCAGCGCACACGCTGAACCGCATCACCCGTTGCTTTCCATCTCTGCACAGAACAAGCTGCTAAAAAAAAAAGTCCTCTCCCCTTTAAACTGAATATATCGCTTCGGACACTTCAAGTGGAAATGAGAAAAACGAAATGAGAAAAATAGAAAGGAAAAGAGAAAAAGAAAGAAAAAGTTTCTGGAGCACCAATGCCAATGAAGTAATCTTTTCTTCCTGATTCTGTAATTAATTATGAATTGACTCTATTATTAATTATGAATTAATTCTATGAATAATCATAGAATCATAGACTACCTTGAGTTGGAGGGGACCCAAGAGAATCATCAAAGTCCAGCTTTGTAATAGCTTAATGTCTTTCTTACATTGTGGTGCCCAAACTGCACACAGTATTCAAGGTGAGGCCACACCAGTGCAGAGCAGAGCAGGACAGTCCCCTCCTCGACCAGCTGGTGATGCTTTGCCTGATGCCCCCCAGGACATGGTTGGCCC